TTGTCCAGTAATATAAGTATCAGTTTAGGTGACACTGGGATCCACCATCTCATCACAACTTCATTTTACAATGAAACCATGAATTTCAGTGTCACCTAGACACATTGCCTAACGCCAATGATGCTACAAAGCGTTATTCATGTATTAATTACATCGATTAATCAAGATTTTTGTCCAAGCATAATCGACATATTTTCTCGTGGGATTAAAACCAATGTATACTATTACCTAAGAAAGTGTTTGAAATCCAAGAAATTTGGCTCCCCACCTTAATCGATTTAAAATTATTCAAAATAAGTTGATTATATGGTAGAAATGACAATGATAAACCTACTCCACCATCTTTACTAAAGGATATGGATATAAAGTTGAGACCTAATCCCATAATTAAAGAAGAGGGACGTATGATGATAAAGAATGATCAAGGCTTAGCGTTTGGTTTCGTGATATTTGCTCGTAGAAAACGATGTTCAACGAAAATGACCTGTTTGATATTTGTTTTCACAAAATTAATAATTAATGATGTTGTTTTCTTGACTTTCAATTTGTTTTTGTCGGGCGGAATACCAAAATAAAAACTAAGTTTGACTTGATTTGGTTTAACTGCATAATTAAATTACTACTGAAATGTTGGGTTAAACAGAAAGTTGGGAAATGGAATCATATTACATAACATTAAATTTGTATGCTTGCATAGTCAAGAAATCCCTTGAAGGAGTTGTGTGGTTAGATTGTTGGAATCGCATTGTTCGAACGTGAGAAAAAGAGACAATCCAACAATTTTGATATGGAGATTATATGAATCGAAATGGTTATGGACTATGGATACAGTTTACCAATCTACAAGGGACACGTAACTTTTCAATCATACATTTCATCAATTTTTATTAAAATCTGTTAAAATTTAGGCGTGACTCGAATTCCTTGTTGAAGTAATTGAAGAATTTTAATTGAAGTGCACGTTCAGAAAAATTCAGTTTTAAATGCTATGAGAATCTTATGTCAAGTTGAAATTTATTTTGGAAGCCTATTAGGAGTTGAAAATTGGTATTGGATTTGAAAAAGAGTTTGGCATGGAGAAAACGACTTAGAACAAAAAAAAATTCTGGGTAGAACGCTCAGCGCTGGGCGCTCGGAGGTGGGCACCGTGGCGCCACCTGACCCGTTTTAGGTTTTCCGCATTTTTTTCTCCTTTTTCATTTTGGACTCAATTTTTTTTTTCATCATACTTCATCAACAACTCTACTAGGAGGGTTTGAACGTCCCCTTACATATTCCTTATAAATATTAGGTTTTTTTATACAATTTTATGAGTGTGAAAATTTTTTATAAGTGTGAAAAAATAGATTACTAGAATTATATGATCTATTGTAATTTTCTTTTTCTTCATTATTTTTGAGTCAATAAAATCTTTTAATTCCCCTACAATATTTTTTGTCTTTATTGTGCTTTTCCTTGATCTAATACTTTATTATTTGCCATATAATTTTAACAATTCATTCCGGTGGTTGATTTCATCAAGTGATATTCAAACAATATATAATTTTTGTATTTCCAATATTGCTAAAAGCGATTCGGGCCTATTGATATTTCTTGTAATAAGAGATATTTTGGTTGTTTCATAACAAGTGATATTAGAGCTCCAAGTTCAGCAGTTCCGCAAGAGTGCATGATTTGATTTATTCGAGGTTTTTTGTTCATGGTGACTTCCATGAAGTATAATTTTGTTTTTGGATCAGAGCACTAGATTTTTGTTGCGACATGTTAATATGCGTACAGTACTTGCACAGCAGAATTTGGATGATGCGTTGTTGGAAATTGACAAGATGCCACAACTTTGACCGCAAATGAGAAATTATAGAAGGAGAATAAGGCAGTTTACATTCATCTCAATCTATCGAATACTATTCTTCATGATGTTTTGAAGGAGGTTTCTACAGATGCTCTATGGTTGAAGTTGGAGCAATTGTGCATGACTAAAAGTCTGACAAGAAAGTTGAACATCAAGCATCATTTATACTTTAATCGAATGGCTGAAAGATGATCGTTAGAAGATCACCCGACTGTATTTAAAGCGATCGACGCTAATTTGAAAACTTTGGAAGTAGAGTATGATGAAAAAGATTTGGCTTTGATTCTATTGTGTTTGTTGCTTGTTTTGTTTTCTTCATTTAGAGACACGATCTTGTATAATCGTGATACTCTCACCATAGAAGAGGCGTATGATACTTTGTATTCAATAGAGAAGATGAAGCGTCTGGTTTTTGAGGCCAGAGATGGAGAAAGCCTAGTTGCTCATGGTGGTTCTGGAAGAGGCAGATCAAAATTTAAGTTCAGTAATCATATTTGTAACTACTGCAAAAAGAAGGGGCATAAGAAAAAAGATTGCTACAAATTGTGGAATAAAGAAAAGTTGGCTGCAAGTCGATATGGGAAGCAATCAGAGTCTGTAAGTGAAGCAGACCTCGCAGAGAACATTGTAAGTGGGGGGAAATCTCTTGGCTATTTCTGACATCGAGTCAAAAACCAGAGGAGAATTGAATTTTAGATTCAGCTTGTGTGTTTCATATGTGTCCTAATATTGACTTGTTTACTACATGTGAAACTGTTTCCAAAAGTGTCGTGGTTATGGAAAACAACGCACCTTGTCGGGTTGCTGGAATTGGTACGGTCAGATTGAAATTATTGGATGGGACAATTAGAACACTTGGCCAGGTTCGACATGTTCTGAATGTGAAGAAGAATCACATCTCGTTGTCTATCCTTGATTCAAAGAGTTATGAGTTTTTGGTGGGGGTGGAGTTTTGAATGTTTGTAAGGGTGCCCAAATTATATTGGAGGTACATAAAATGTCTCAATTATACATATTGTAGAATTGTGCATAATCTAGAAGAGTCAATCAGTACAGGTTCAGTACCGTGGTGAACATTTAGTTTGGTACAATACCTTTAGTAGCTCGTAAATGGTCGAATTTTAAGAATATTGCTTAGTGGAATTTTGAAAATATGGATAATGTAGCTTTGCTACCATCACCTGCGATGCCATTGTATTCAATTGTTAAGGACAGACCTAGTGGAAAAGGGTATGTAAATGCTGATTTTGTTGAGCATGTTTTAAGCGGAGTAGAAGATGTTCAATCTAGTAAGAGGCTTTCAGTAAAAGCATTTGGTATTGATTCTGTCTTGAGGTAAATCATTATGATTTTTTGGGAATCTAAGATAATTCTACAAGAGTAGTGCTTGGATTCATTGGAAAATGTGGAGTATTGTGTTTTGTTGGATAAATGAATTTTTTGGTTATTGTTGAAAAAGTCAGTTCATTCCTTAGTAAAATTCGTGTCAAGGTGGAGATTGTTAGAATTTGGGTGTGACCCGAATCCCTTGTTGAAGTAATTGAAGAATTCTAATTGAAGTGCACGTTAAGAAGAATTCAATTTGGAATGCTATTGGAGTCCTATGTCAAGTTGAAATTTTATTTTGGAATCCCATTAGGAGTTGAAAATTGGTATTGGATTTGAAGAAGAGTTCGGAATGGAAAAAATAACTTGGAACAAAAAAAAAAAAAATTCGAGCAGAAAGCCCGACGCCACCGAACATGTTTCAAATTTTTTGCGTTTTACTCTCATTTTTCGTTTTGAACTCGATTTTTGGGCATTTTATTTCATCAACAATTTTATTAGAAGAGTTTGGACAAACCCTACACATTCCTTATAAATTTAGGCTCTTCTATACAAATTTATAAGTGTGAGAAAATAGATTAATAGAATTATAAGATCAATTGTAATTTTCTCCATTTTTCATTATTTTTAAGTCAATAAAATATTTTAAGTCCTCTGCCATATTTCTTATATTTATTATTTTTTTACTTGATCTAATACTTCATTATTTTCCATATAACTTTAACAATTCATTAAGGTGGTTGGTTTCATCAAATGGTATTCAAACAATATACAATTCTTGTATTTCCAACATTGCTAACAACGATCCGAGTATATTAATACTTCTTCAAACAAGAGATATTTTGGTTGTTTCATAACAAAATAAATTAAAAATCTTATTTTAATCCTCGTTAAACAGGGGCATAGTTTAATTTAGTGTCAATGTCAAACATATTTTGACTCCACAAAATGAATGTAAAAAATATTGAAAAGGTGCAATTACAAGAACGTGATATTCATTATTAAGTGAGTTTTAACTCGTAGTTCTTATTCATCTCATTTTGGTCCAAAGGAATTCAAAGGTACATATTTATATATCATTCTATCGTCCAGTAACAGTGTTTAGAAATCACTCACAGATATTCCAAAAAAAAAAAAAGAAAAGAAGAAGAAAAAGGAGGAGGAGGAGGAAATGAAAAGAAAGTCTGGATGTAGTAGAAGTTTTATGTACTAAAAACATTATGCTGCACGAATTTTAGTGTTGAATTTCACTATTCTGTCATGATCTATCACTTATTATCCTCCAAACTAACGTAAATATCTTAGTTGACACCCGTATCGTTACTGATCTTCCACAACGAAAATGATAAAACGCGGATTATAGCAATATCATTAAATTGAATGCTAAAACTTAGTAGATGTGTTTTTTCTTTTATTTCAACGTTTTTATGATGTAAAGTAATCCATTACGATAGATAGTGAAATTTAAAATCAAACTGAATTTCACCAAATTGAAATTAATTATAAATAAGTATGAGCGATTGTGGATTTGTATCAAGTTGAATTTAAATGGATAAAATACTTTGCCGAATGGAAGCAAGAAACTGTGTTGCACTATTAAGCCAACGCATAGACGTACGTGGCATCATTCCTGCACTCTATCGGCCAAGTGTCCCCTAAATTTGGACTAATATAAGCACGTTCATGCACTCCTATTTCTCCATCTTCATTAACTCTTCATTCACCTAAGATTTCAGTTCAGTTGATAAAGTTTTTTTCTTGCTAGCAAAGTAGGGTTTTTGCTGAACTTGATTGAGCAAGAAAGAACCAGATTTATAAAGCCATGCCTCGCGGGTACACTTTTGGTAGGGCAGAAGAAGCCACTCACCCCGACTCTGCCAGGGCCACCTTGGCTGAGTTCCTCTCCACCTTCGTCTTCGTTTTTGCCGGAGAGGGCTCCATCCTTGCTCTTGGTACGTAATTTTTCTTAAGGTTGTTGATAATAGAAATCAGTAGGTACTTCAGAAACGTCCTAACTAATATGCACATATATACAAGCAAGCATAATTTTATGTTCTCAACTTGTATTCATATTGTAGATAAGATGTATAGGGAGACAGCTTTAGGAGCATCCAGCCTGCTGGTTATCGCCCTCGCCCACGCCCTCGCTCTGTTCGCAGCTGTGGCTTCAAGTATGAACGTCTCTGGCGGGCACGTCAATCCTGCTGTCACTTTTGGTGCACTTGTGGGTGGGAGAGTCTCCGTGCTACGTGCCGTTTTCTACTGGATTGCTCAGATTTTGGGTGCTATTGTAGCTTCTCTCTTGTTGTGGCTAGCGACTGATGGTTTGGTAAACAAAGAAAAAGAAAACCCACCTAGTTTAATTATTTACTTTCATGTCTTAGCACATGTTTGTGGCTTCTATGCTATATACTGTGTAAAAAAGTAACTTTTAAGCATGTGGTGATTGTGGTCGCAGAAGCCGCAAGGATATTCCGTGGCAGCTGGAGTAGGAGAATGGAACGCGTTGGTTATGGAGATTGTGTTGACATTTGGACTGGTATATACGGTGTACTCTACTGCGATTGATCCAAAGAGGGGAAGTTTGGGGACTATTGCACCCCTTGCTATTGCCTTCATATTTGGGGCTAATGTGCTGGTTGGAGGGCCTTTCTCAGGAGCATCGATGAACCCTGCTCGGGCTTTTGGGCCAGCACTGGTAGGGGGGAGGTGGAGGGGCCACTGGATCTACTGGTTGGGACCGTTGCTTGGTGCGGCCCTGGCCGGAGTTATATACGAGTTTGGAATGATACAAACGGAGACCCCACACCACACACATCACCAGCCTTTGGCTCCAGAAGATTACTAGTTTACTTGGTTTCTTTGATAAAAAAAAAAAAGGTACTCGGCATATTTGTGTTTAAGTCGTTTTTCTGTGTGGTTTGGTGTAATGTAGTGTGATGCATTTGTAAGTAAGATGCAAAACATTTTGATAGCTATATCAATAATAATCGATGCGGCCTTTTCATTCGCCTCTTAATTTGCTAGAGCATCAGATTCACCATAATTAATACTATTTAATTCCTTTTACCACATTATTGACGGTATAAATTCATGTAGACAGTTGAATAACACTAATTTATTTTATATTCTTTTGCTACTCACATACATATAATAGATAATATCAGTGAGGCAGTCCATTTATCGGAGAAGCAGAGGGCCAGAGGCAGTCCACTTATCTCCACTGATTTATCATGTTATTGCAACCTTTTTCAGTCGTATTATTTTTGATCAGTTATATCATTTGAATTTTGTATTTCCAGCCATACTAGGAGTCAGGTTAGTCAAATATGTTGTAGTCATTTTGTATAAATAGAGAAGCAAGTTAAGACTATTACTTCCTTTTATATTCTATTTGTCTTCATGGTATCGGAGTAATATTTTAATTGCTACAGCTTTCATTCTCCAGCCAACACCACCATGACTACAGCCAACAGCACATGAGGGTGCGGTCATTAAGTGTTGACAAATGAACCAAAATACTTCTCATTACTATCAATGTTTCTGCCCAAGTCCCTTTGAAACTCACCCGCAGCTTCAATTCCACACTCTTTTTGTCGATTAGGACCTCCCTGGATACGTAGATGAATCTAAACCATGTCCACCTTCCACTATCACCGAAAACATCACTACTGTACCAAACACGGCTCATACCATATGTGTTCGACAAGACCAGTTGATCCTTAATGCTCTTGTTGGATCCCTTTCTCCCACAATCATCCCATTCATTCCTCATGCCAAAACCTTACAGGAAGCTTGGACGACTCTATTAAACACATATGCAAAGCCATCCCGAGGACGCATCAAGCAGATTAAGAATCATCTTAAAAATATGACCAAGGGCTCTCAACTATTACAGAATTTCTTCCGATGGTGAAATCCCGTGCTGGTGAGCTCCATCCTTGGAGCACAAATGGATGAAGATGATATCACAGAAAATTCTTGATGGTTTCGGTGACAACTATAAAGAACTAATACTTGCAGTTCAAGCCCGACAATCACGTTTGATGAGCTTCACGAAAAACGTTTAAACTTTGAAGCATCTCTTTGTAAGTGTTTGTAAGTGTTATGCCCTAAGTCCAATTGACTTTGGATATTGTGAGATACAAATTACATATGACTAAATTTTAAATCGTCCCTGGTCGAAGTAATAACGAGATACTGATATCGTTATTACGGATAGACCATCGTGTGCGACATTCTTACTTGTGAAGTAAGTAGCTGATCTCACAAGCTAAAGTGTGGTGACACTTGAATGAACACGTGGATGTTTTGTTATAAAACAAAACATTGGAGACCCGCTGGGAGATTCCACGTGGATAACTATCTGAGTGTTAGTGGTTAATCTCTAACGTTCGGTAGTGAAATTGGTTCTTTAATTTGAGGTCATCATAGTACTTTATATGAGGACAGTCATACTTTGGTGGTGTTGGATGTTGCTTTGTCAAGGGTCGCTAATACAACATCGTTCGGGTATATCAAGAATCATATGAAGGTTGTGAATGATCGATAGAGAATTCGCCATTCTTAGATAGTAAGAGATTATG